AAAAAAAAAAAAAAAAAAAGAGAGAGAGAGTTACCCTGCTCCCCATTCTCTAAACCAATCAAAGGGTAAACACTGGAGGGTTCCTTCAGTGGTAAGATATGCTATAAGGAATTTGTTACTAACAATTATTCAATTATTAAAATTTGTTAATAATTTAAAAACAAATTGGAGTAGTAACTAATACTAACTCTCAATCATTTGTCTACAGATATGCTTTTTAGATTAGGAGAGAAAGGGGTAGACTTAACCATGAGCTCACAGGGATTTGAACATGACCCATAAATAAGTATCCTGCATGTCAACGTCATCCTTTCTGTGTCACAGCCAAGAAGTAATAAAAAAGTACTGGACACTGGTACTCCAAGAAAGCCACATTTCCTCTTGGAGATATTGAAACACCATTCTGTAAGAAGTATAAGCTAGCCCGAACGGTCTGGGGTGTAAGAACACAAGGTCCCACCATGGATACCTTCCAAGAAACCTAGAAGAACCCAATGCTTTGTGCTGAGTCCAGACGTGAGAAGGTAAGTCCTTTGAAGAAACTCCATAATTCTCTTTCAAAGGCTTTGGTTTTAAAAACTCTCATGACTCCTGGGGGATGAAGCTGCCTTACTCTTGTTCCTCCCCACTGAGGAGTCCCCATAGGGTGTGTGGATGGTCCCCTTCCTTCAACGTGTTCTAGAGGTTACATCAGAGCTTTCAAACTGATCAAACTCCTTTGGGCTGGAAGGATTAAGGGTCGTGGCTGTTATCAAAATGGGTCATCATCAAAAATTCATTAAGTAAAAAAGACACCTGTGGTCAGGCCAATTTTTCAGCTGAAGACTCTAAGACAGAAATTAAGTATATCTGGGGTGCTACCAACATGAAACCTCCCGCTGGAAACCTAGTGCTCCTTCCACACACTTGCCTGTCTGGTCCTCTTCTGATTTCTTTATTGGAAAAACCACATTTCTCTCCAAGGCCCCACCAGAGGTATAACAGAGGCTCCCTGGGGCCAGCCAGGAGAAATATCTGAGTCACAGTGGCCAGGCATGCCCCTTCCTGTTTGACTCACCCGGTGGCAGCTGCCATGATGCATCCACCATCAGCCGCACTGGCCGAGCAGCAATCTGCAGAATCATGGCTCATGCCAAAGTTGTGGCCCATCTCATGGGCCATGGTGGCAGCCACGCCAATGGCATTCTCGGAGTGGTCCTGCTCAGAGAGAGAGTTGAGGTCAAGCTGATAGTTCTGCCTCTGCTCCCCTTGCCCGCCTTTTCCTTAGCCAAGCCTTGCCGGTTGCCACTGATTCCACTGTCGCTGAGCATGGGGCTCTCCACATACGCCGTTAACAGCAAGTCTAAAGCCACTGCCATTATTAGGAAATCAAATGTTTTAAAGTCCCTGTTTCTTGAATTCTTAAAGGTTGTAGACCACCTCTGACTCACTGATGAATTTCCAGACCAATAAGTGCTTTCTGAATAAATGAAAGACGAGGTTTTTCCCATTCTTTCTCTTAACACACACACTCATGCACACACACACACACACACACACACACACACACACACACACATATATATGGTAATTGACAAAGGAAATACCACCTTGATTTAGACATTGGATGCACTTGGCTCAGTGTTTTCTAAGAGAGCCCCATGAGGTAGATACATCCCAGGCACAGAACCTGGCATAAGTGTCTGATGTGCAGTTATCAGAAGCAAAAGATAGTGAGGAAAAAAAAAATCCAGCAGAACAGAAGCAGCAAAAAGAGATTTACTGAACACATACGTGTGTTTCTTGCGTTATTTCACTTAATTCCCATTCTTATCCTAAGATTATAAACTGTAAAATTATCTCTATTTTATAATCGAAGACACTCATTAACTTGCTCAAAGTCACATAACCGCTCTTTGAACCCTATAGGTTCTGACTCCAGAGCCTGTGGTTTTTAACCTTCATATTATTTTGTCAATAAATACAAAATTGATGGAGGGGTGGATAAATAAATGGATAGCAGGCTTCCTTGATATCCTATTCAAAGGTTAGAAATGAATAGTCTAAACACTCTCATAAAGTCAGAGTGAATTTCAAAAGAAGGTAGTAATTTCCTAACCATGACTTTGAGACAGGCTCTTATTTCATAATGACACACATAACAATGCGAGACCTGGAATAAAAAGACTTTTTTTTTGAGATAGTGTCTCACTCTGTTGCCTGGGCTAGGGTGCAATGGCATCATCATAACTCACTGCAACCTCAAACTCCTGGGTTCAAGCAATCCTCCTATATCAGCCTTCCGAGTAGCTGGGACTACAGGCGTGCACCACCATGCTGAGCTAACTTTTCTATTTTTTGTGGAGACAGGGTCTTGCTGTGTTGCCCAGGTTGGTCTCAAACTCCTGGCCTCAAGCAATTCTCATGCCTTGGCCTCCCAGAGTGCTGGGATTATAGGCATGAGCCACTGGGCCTGACCTGAAAGCACTTTTAATTTCTATTCTCTTACTGTCCCCCAGCCCCCTGGTTTGGAATATGTGAGAGATCTAGTGATGTATTCATGTAATTGCTTCAGGGTTCTCCTGAGCTTGAAAATCAGGAAAAACTACAATAAATGAAAATTCACCCTTGGGTCCATCTCTTAATGACTTCATTTTAAACACAGGCACTTCCTGATGTTCAAGGCTTTCTGCAGAACCGACATACTGGCTGGGACTCACCATGTTGACTCCTCCAGATTGGTACACGGAGCACATGGCCATGAGGGGGGCCAGGCCGATGGTGGTGCCATGGAAGGACATGCCCCTGCAGGAGAAAAGGACAGAGGGTGACTCGAGTTCCAGTGTGCCCGAGAGGAGGTGGCCATCCTGGTGTTCCCTGGCCCTGCTGACATTCCCAGGTCATTCCCAAGGGAATGGGGCCAAATGGACAACTTCCAGGTTGCCACACCTCTCACTTCCTCTCACCTACTCCCTCACTCTCCAGGGAAACAGAAAGAAAGAGCAAAAGGTCACTTTTCCCCACAATATGCCCACAGCCAATGCTCCGGAAGGAAATGGGCAGGGCTTGCAAAACTGCATCCCATTCCTGCCGCACAGGAAAAGGTCAGAGCGGAGGTTGAGGGGCGGGCGGCACAGGTTCTGATGCTGAGTGAATCAGGCCCACTTCCACCAGCTGCCAGGGTCCTGGGCCTTATCCCAGGCTCTGTGGTGTGTGTCCTGGGGGATGGAGGTGGGGAAACTGGGGCAGCAGCTGTGGGGCTGATGCTCTCTCTTTTCCCACATCACTCTGGGGGCCAGGGAAACAGCTGTGTCCTGGCAGGGGCCTCACAAAGTGCAACTGGCCGCAAGGATGAGCTGTTCTGCCTTTGTTCCGCAATGGTGATCCTTGCCTGCCAATGGCAAGCTACATTTTCCCCAGTTTAACCATCCCTCCCTCAGCAGTACACTTCCGGGGTAGGGGAGAAGGAATAAACGAAATACCAGTGTTTTTGTACATGCCACAAACATGTAATCCATTTAAAGGATCTATATGGAGATGTATTCCATGATACTTATCTCCATGTTTGTCTTCTTTTCTAGACCATGATAGCTTTGAGAATGAGACTATCTTATTTATTTTGGGATCACTAGAACCTGGCACAGAATCTGACACATAATGGGAGCATAATAAATGTTTGCTGAATTAAAGGCAGACTTATCTTCAGAGAAACAATCTGCAAAGAAATATGCAAAATAGATGCAAATCCATATGAAGCCAACTGGTTATTTTCTAAACTTAGACCAGGCTCTGAGGAAGTCCTACCGGAGACTCAGCTTCAAGGTCTGGCCCAAAGCAAGACACCACACTTCCAAAGTTCAGGCTGAAAGATTTAGTAGCCAAAGACTCTCCTAGATGAATGTACTATTATGAAGTAACCATTCACAGCCCAGGATCTGGGACAGTTATTTTCCCTGGTTTCTTTTAAAGGGTAAACCGAGGTTTAAATGATTGTTACTCAGAACTATACTTAGGGGGCAAAAGAAAAATGGTTCTATTATCTAGGTGCCTTTCGTTGTAACTGCCTCAAAATACCTTTAGAAGTAAACACTGACACATACCAAATAATCACCCTCGAGGGACCGTCACGTGCCACTATGACCCCCATCGACGTCTGTTCTTTTCTCTCTGGAACTGATGAGAATCCAGCACAATCCCGACTCAAGGTCTCCCTCCCACTAAGTACTCAGTTCCTGCACCACGTGGTGCTTTGACGATCTTGGGCAGGCAGCCCTACGCCCCCTGGGAGCCAAGTGGAGGGAAACCCAAGGAACCCCCTCTCCTGTACCTGTGCCGGGAGATTAGCTCATGGACTAGAACAAAGTGCCAAGAAGATCAAGATGAGCCCCTTAGAAAGTCTGTTTCGAAGTGGCCCATGACCAACAGTTGGTCACATCCCAAATACATACTCAATTGTTTCAGATGCTCAACTGATTGTGAGATCACTAGATCTCTGAATTATAAGATCTAAATTATCATTAGGTCACTAGAATTATAAGTCTAATTTTCTCGTATGGATTGTAAACAGTTTTTCGGACTGTTAGGACTCTTCGGCTTTTTAACACTTCCTGGGGTGTGCTCGGTACAGAGCACATGTGTGAAAAATGTCTGATCATCTGGACCGAGGAACCGGGATGGCTCTGTACAACCAACGCTCACCACTGGGGAAAGAAAGGGTCAGGCTCTGAGCACGCGCACAGCGGGCAGAGGCTGTGCAGCCAAGGCTAAATGCAACACACATGGAAAAAGGCTATTTACGTGATTAACTGTGCGTTGTCATGGCTCTTCTGGGCGAGCAGCTTGCGCCTCCAACTAAGAAATGACCAGAGGGTAGAGTACGGGTTCTCTGAAACTTCACACATGTTGCCGTGAGTCCACACTTCCAAGCCCACGAGAGCAATCCGGATGTTCAAGGATCGGTAAAACTGCAAGGACACACGGAAAAGCATCTGTCAACACCACCGGGGATGGAAAAGCCCGTTCCTCGCCTAAGAGCTCAGAGCACAGATACCAGATTTCTCTTCTGCCTGTGGCTCCAAAGGGATAAGGAAACAGGTATTACTGACATTTTCCAAAGGGGACAATGAGATTCTGAGAGAGATGCACAACATTCTGGTGGCAGAACTGCGGCGACGTCACTTAGAGAACACTGAGATAGGACATAAAATTGCTTCCAAACGTGTACACAGCCTGGAAAAAGGACCAGCGTTGTTCTGTGTGATTCTCAAGCAGGGCTTAGGTCAACAGATAAAACAGACAGGAAGATAAATTTCAATTCAAATAGGAAAAGAGCTTTCAAACAAAGCTGGTGCTGAGTGAGCTCAGAGCTAAGCTTTGCTGTCTTTTGTAGTAAGCGCCCTTGGCCTGGCTGTCTGGTATGATTTCCTCTCCCAATTCCTTATATGGCCCTGGTCTTTTTTTGTAAGTATCTACATCTTTTTTTATAAGTATCTAAAAAATTACCTTATACTTGGATTTTTAAAGCGACTTTATTGAGGTATAATTCACATACCATCAAACCCACCTATTTTAACTGTACAGCTCAGCATTTTTTACTAAATTTACGAAGTTGTAAAGCCATCACCATAATCTGGTTTGAGAATATTTTCATCACCTTAGTAAGATCCCTCACGTCCAGGTACAGCCACTTCCCATTCTCACCCTCAGCCCCAGGCAAACATTAACCTGCTTTCTGTCTCCGTAGATCTGTCTTTTCTGAACATCTTTTTATAAACATAATCATATAATATGTGGTCTTTTGTGTCTGGCCTCTGTCACCTGGTATAATGGCTTTGAGATTCATCCATGTTGTAGCCTGTGTCGGTTTGTCATTCCTTTTTATTGTGGAATAATATCTCGTCTTATGGATGTACCAAATTATATGTGGATATTTTATTGTAAAACGTCTCCCACTCATTTTGGAAGTAAATGAGCATAAATGATACAGAAGTGGATACACACGCTTATTCTCAAGAGTTTCCTTCCCATCCCTGGAGGGGTTCTGGTTTTGTCAAGGATACCACGAACAAGTTGCAAGCACCAACCTACAAAAGGTCCTTGATAATCTTCAGCGTTTTGTTCCACCTAGAGATCCTGAAGTTCTATAAGTGAGATCTGAACTCTCGACCTCCTTAAGGCTAGAGCTACATCTAACCTTTATGACCTGTCATCTTCATCTCATACAAACATAAGCAGGAGGAGGGTTTTCTTTAAAGCTAAACCCACTGGAAGGTGCAAGTACAAGGGGTTCTCTGATGGGTCTACCCTAGAGAAGACTACTGAGCCAGTGACTTAAAAAAAAAAAAAAAAAGCCCCATGTATAGAAAGATGGTATGAGCAGGAGATACCGTCTTAATCCAGAATTGGCAGGTACTGCTCAGCTAAAAAATAATATCGTAGCACCAATGTTTATCAAGAGCTTTCTATGTACTAAGCACTGAAGCTTAGAGAAGTTAAAGAACTGGGCCTAAGTCTCAGTAGGATGATGGTGGAGCCAGGATGAAGGCCAAAATTATGATCTGAGAGCCAGCTCATGACCTACACTGCTTAAGTGCTGCAGTATTTACACATCCAGATAATCGACTTGCCCCCAAGAAATGGGAGTCTAAGACAGGCTCCAGATTCGTGAAATAGCAATTTATTTCAATGGAAATTCTAATTTTTTCTGTTTTGTGCATGGTCAATCATTAGAGAAAATAAAGGGTTTCAATTCCAGTTTGAATTTGCTTTAGGAGGGAATTTGGTTTTTCAGGAAGTCATCTTGGCTTTTTCACAGTTAAGGAAAAACATTTGGGAGTGCGTTCATGATTCAGCAAATTAGTACAGTTCATTCCGGTTTTAGTTCAACCATAGTTCAGTTCAAGTATCTGGGTCAGCAAGCTTCAAAGAGGCGGCTGTGCCTTCCCTCACCCCAGCCAGGAGTGACTGAGGAGACAAGACTGTTTCACAGAAGGGACCAGCCAGCCAGGCCTGGGGCTTCGACTAAGGACTGGGATTTGCTACTGATACTCTTCTCCCTGCGATTTCCATGAGCGCCTTCCATGTTATCTATCACCCAGCCCAGCTGGAGAGTTGACAAAGAGCAGTCCCAGCCAAGTCTCCCTCCTGCCAGGTCTCCGAACAATAGATGTCACATGGGTGGGAGCAGAGTCCACCTCCCATATTGCCCCCAGGAAAATAAGCTCTCCTTGTTTTCCCAGATGTTGAGTGTTTGGGTTGTAGGATTATTTAAATGTTATTGTTGAGGGAGTTGGGACTGACTGTGTCCCTAGAGTCCTTCTTTCCAGGAAATGCCAGTGTTTTGACTTTCACCTGCCACTGACCACTGATCTGTTTCCATAGACATCTAGAGCAGAGCAAAAACATGGGGCATAGAAACTGCCCTCTGATGACTTCAGAACACTACTAAATTTGCTTTTTAATCACTAAAAAATATTTTAAGTTCTTTTCTTTATCCTGTAGTGTTTAGGAAAAAAATGATTTCCTCTTTAGACATGAGAGTCATGAATCCCTAGCAGGCCCAGAATTAAGCTTGAGAAGTTTTATGAGTGTCCTAAAATTGTATAATAAATGTTATCAGATTCTCAAAGAGATTTGTGATCCCAAACACATTAAAACCTACTTTTTAAAACTATACACTACTAGCCTACCAAGAGGCTACTGTCATTCTATGTTACCTATTCTTCATTTTCTACTATAACCAATATCTTCTTTCAGACATACCAAGTATTTTTAAGTCCCAGACCAGCCTGTTCTAGTAAAATTCAAAAATGTGGATACTTCTTAAGAGCATATTGAAAAAGTTCCTGACCTGGGAAAGTTAACCATTCATACATCCTTACTAAGAGACAAGAAATAATTTTAGGATAGCTTTACAGAAGGAGACTTTACAGATTGGCCCCAAACAACCCAATTCTCAATGTTTAAGGCTGTGCACTTTTCGTCCCCTGACCTACCTCAATTCCACCCTAAACCTGAGAATTCCTGGGCTTTATACCTGAAAGGAACCTTAAAAATTCTTAAACGAGGCTCTTCCATGCCCCAGGTTCCTCAGGAGCCATGGCAAGGGTGAGAGGAAGGGGTCAGAAGGACAGTGCTCTGGTCCAAATCTCTACTTCAGCTTAGAGCAGTCTGTTTTCATTTGACTTTTATACTAGACATTAACATAAGATTTCATTTAAAAAGGAAAAGGATTCTACCATAAAAATAACAAAAAGCCATTGATTTAGGACAACCCCTCTATTTTACAAATTCCAAACAAAACAAAACAAAAAATCTGCAGCCCAAGGAAAATGAGTTACTTGCCCAAGGTTACATAGTTCAGGACTTTGTCATGACCACTCTGAGCCTCAATGGCCTTGCTCATTCCCTTTCAGAAGCTGGCTGAGGTGACTAATCAGCAGAAGGCAGCTCAGGTGCCACGTGGTCTCCTGCCCTGTGGCCCCTCTGAGGTGCTGGTACTGGGCACCTTTCCCACGAAGTACACACCTGGTCTCACCTTATCAACATAGTTGGCGATCTCCATGAGCTTGTGTTTGGTGGCGTCCTGGTCTCGTCGATTCTTCTGAAACTAAATGGGACAGGCAGAACCAGGTGAGACCCTAGAACCTCTCTAAGGATCCTTCCTGTGCCCCATTACTTGTGTTTGCATGTGTTCTTATTGAATTCTGTCTTCTGTGAGCAGTCATATTTATGCAACTGTCTTCCCAGCCGAGGTGACAGCTTGTGAAGGGCAGGACCTAGTCACATCCATCTTTATATCCCTAGCTACTAGCTCAGTGCAGGGCATACAGCAGGCATGCAATAATTACATAGTGAATTGAATTATCTTCCTCTAACCCTTGAAGTAAATCTTATTCTCCACCCTCTGAATCACAAGGCCTCTGGTAAACTCCCATTGGGGCTTAGAAGAGGGACTAATCCAATCCTTGCCTTGGTCATCACCCCGACATGAAGCCATCATCACACAGATCTCATGAGGCTTCCCTGTAGGTGGCCAATCAACACTGGTCAAACTGTTGCAAGGTATTGTGCTTAGCAGTAAGTAGGACACAAAGAAGTGTGAGATCTTGGCCCTAGCCTAGAGGAGCTTCGATCAAACCAGAGAGGACCAGAAATAACTACAATGGCAGATCCTGTATTAAGGATCTGTATTTAAGTATATAGTTGAAACAGGCTGAGAAAACATGCACAGAAATAACCACAATGCGAGGCCACCTGAATGACACGGGATGGGTGCTGGTAAGGAGGACCGTAAAACATTGGCAAATACACTTTGTCTAGCACGTGGCAGTGCTGTCTGCAGTAAGAATTCTGAGACTGCATCAGACAGAAATCAGATGTTTCTAATAATGCACAGGAACGAAGGCTGTGCTCCATGAGAGATGCCCGCATGGGTACCAGGAACAGGACATGTCGGCATGAATGCCTCACACTTATATTCCTCCCAAAAGGACAGATTTCTTGCAGCTACAATGATGAAGGAAAGCTTCACGGTGTAGAGAGAGAATTTGCTGCAGTTGCAAATTAAATTTGCAAATGATGGGCACGTCTTGTACACTGCCATTGTTACCTGGAGTCTGGGTACCTCTTTAATTTACCCATTATACATGTTCCTTTAATTCCAACCTTCACTTCCTTCCTCCATCTGATCCCACAGGAATATTTCAGCAAGAAACAAAAAGAACAGCCCAAATAAGCACCCTGGGGTATTTGTTTGGCTGGGGGTGTGTCCCGGCTCCGACACAGGGAAGAAATTCACCATTTTTCCCTTTTTCCCACTGCCTTTGGACATCCCTAGGTTTCTTCAGAATTATCGCTCACCAGAAGAGAATTTCATCGTCACCACTGCTTTCTGAAGTTAAATTCGTGTGACCCACTGTGACTCAGACCTTTCCAAGGTATTAATCCAGAACTTTCCCATTTCTAAATTAGTCCCACAGCAAAGCACTGCAGCATTTCCATTCATTTAGCAAATATTTACTAGAACATCAGGGTCGAATTTTATTGTCTTTCAAATATATTAATCCTATCTTTAAACAACTGCCCAACTAGGCCACCATAATTTAAGGAGTGTAGCCTCTTGTCCAGAATAGTCTGAAGTTAGAGTCAGCAAACCTCCTCTGCAAAGGCCAGAGAGTAAATATTTTAGGCTTTGTGGGCCGTATCTTCTCTGCCACAACTGCTCAACCCTGCCAAGGTAGCCGGGAAGCAGCCACGGGCAATACACAAACGATGGGCGTGGCTGTGTTCCAGCAAAACTGTTTACGAAAACACACGGTGGGCTGGATCTGGCCACGGGCTGTAGTTTGCAGACCCCTAGTCTAGAGAAAAGACTATCTCAACCTTACATTTTCTAGGGTGACACAGGAAGTACAACGTGGGGCAGCACCATTCTTTCCTGGCTACCCTACATTCTGCTGGCCTCATGAAAGTCCTCTACAGGCCTGTGTTTCTAGCTATCCTGTCCCCTCCTACAACATCCCACCTTACTCTTCGTTCCCCTGGGATCCTGTTCCATCTGAGGAATGAATAAGCTGAGAACCACCCCAGGAGCTCCCACCTTGGCCCAGGGAGTGAGGAGCTGCCTGCTCATTTTTATTGCCGACAACTCTCTCGGCAGCAGCGTTGTGTCTCTGGTCCCTGCTCTGAGGTCAGAGCCCAGAGCAGGAGGAGGCTGTCCTGGCTCAGCACCTGGTTGTAAATCACGCTGAGGCAGCCCTCCCCTTCCCTGTCTTCCCGTCCTCTCAGATTAATTGATTGTCAGAAATACATTTCTGCCTGCAGAGGATGAGAGGGAGAGGGAGTAAGGGAGGTGGTGAGGGGGTGACATGAGCCTGGGGACCCAGCCCGGCCTATTACATCCCCCGCCACCCCTCACACAAACCACTCAGAGCCCTCAGCTCAGGGGACCCAGAACCCGGAGAAATGAACACATTCCCTCGGCTGCACGAATCCCAGCCCTGCTGAGAGCCCAGGGCCATTGCTGAAGTCGCTCTCCTCTCTCCTTTCTCCCCCATAACAGGGGACACACAGGCCTGGAGGCACCTTGAGCAGACACTTTTCCTCTGGAGCTTGCTGTGACCCTGTAGGTCAGGAGACAGAAGGTCTCCGATTCCTGCCCTGCCCCCCCCTTCTCCGGCAGCTGGAGACTCAAACCCAGAGGGTTTTAAAACCCTGCTCAGAGATTCCTCTGGGGCCAGTACAAGGCCAAAGGGGAGACATACCCTACTTTTAAACCAGAGCATCTGGGTTTCTATACGCTAAACTACTGTGGTCCCCAGGAGCTTTTATCGAAATAAAGGATTCTGTAGCTGGAGAAAAAACTGGCTCAAGACCACTGTATTAGATGATCTCAGATGCAAAGCTTAAATGGAAAAGTGTCCCAGAGTCCGAGGAGTCCAGCTGTGTCCTAGCAACCCTCCCACACTAGGGGTGCTCCTACGGGGCAGGGGTTGGTCACCTCCTCCCACAACTGTGGAGCCTCGGCTGGTTTCTACACCAGCTTTGGATTCTGTTCCCCATGCCCCTGCCCCATCCTATACACACAACTAGTCTTTGGAGAGGAAAGAAAAAAACATAGAAAACACACACATACCAGGCTGCTAGAAAAACCAATACTGACATCAATTAAAAAGCTAAACTCTTCTCAAAGCGGAACACAATGTTCCCTCAGCATGGAATGCCCTTCACCTCCACTTCTCTGCCTTGTGAACTCCTCCTTGTCCTTTAAGACAGCTCAAGGGCCGCCTCCTCCTGTCACTGACATCCAGTGACAAACACCCGAAGGCCTTCTGGCCTGAAGTCTAGTGTTCTTCCCACACCTGGCACTGTCCCCAGGATCCATGCTTCAGGATTGTGACTAGGTAGAGCCACCTTAAAAGGAGGCCTTTTGGCAAGCTTATCACTAACCCCTTTGGGTGGGGTACAGACAGACTGGAGTTGTGTTGAATTCTGTCGTGGGGGGGCCCCAAGGCCAGTGTGCACAGTGTTAGAACACAGTCGGGGCTCAGCTCATCATGATGTCCAGTGCGCAGAAGACGTGCTTAGTTATACAGTTGGTCACCACATAAAGTGAGGATCGGAGGTAACATCAGGCTAATTTAGGCTCTGGGGCCTGAACCCATTCTTCAGGTGTCAGCTTCCACATCAATGCCTCCAAGAAGCATTGATGAGCTTTCCTCAATTCCCAAAACCATGCTGGACCCCTTTACCTGCACTCTAATCCTCCCCAAGAGTCCACCTTAGCAGTTAGCACACTTGGGACACACAGAGTTTTTGTGCTGTTACCGTAAACTCTGCCATGCCAGGGTGGGTCTGTCTTCTTGATGGTTATATCACCTGGTGCCAAGCACCGTGCTTGGCACATACTAGAAAATCAAAAAATTATTGATGAATAAGTGTATGAAATGTATGATGAGCTAGGTCAGTGTTCACCAAATCTTAGAATCTGCCAAATTTCAGGAATATGGAGTTGAAGGCTAACATGCTGTTCCTTTAGATCAGCAGTTCTCAGGCTTGCCTGTGCATCCGAATCACGCAGAAGTCTTGTCAAACACGGATTGCTGGACCCCACCCTGACAGTTTAGGACTCAGTAGGTCTGGGGTAGGACCCGAGAACTTACAAGTTCATAGGTGCTGCTGATGCCATGGTCTGAGGACCACATTTTGGGAACAATGGCTTTAGGTCCTCATTTGGCACCTACATAATTATAAAAATGGACCCACATGTAGGGGGAAAAAAATGATATTCAATCAAAGGATTAAAAATATACTTATTATCTTTGTAAAAAAAAGGATTTTAAAAATCTCTGTAGACACTTCATGGACCCCCTAAGATAAACATCAGAACCTAAAGGTCTTCAGACCCAATTCAAGAAATGTCAATCCAGATAATTTTCCTGATTTTCTACCCAATTGATGTATCATGCCATGAGAGGCTTTTCCTTGTGGGTTTTTTTCTTCCCATCGATGTTCAAAATGGCAAAAAGAGCCCTTGGTCAGATTTAAAGTCAAAATCATATGATAAACCAGAGAAGGATGAATGTGCCGGCATTTCCCCAGAGCAGTTCAAAGCCTGGCATGAAAGCTATCCAGAGAGCAGTGTTTCTGCAAAACTCCCTTACCTCCGCATAATCAGCCACGAGGTAAAGCTCCACGTACTTCATGGAGTGTAAATCTTCCCTTTTCATCTAAGAAAGACACAGACGCAGATCAGGCTGTAGAAATGGTGGGCTTGGCCTCACTTCAAAAACACTGCTAAGAAACAGAGCTGGTGAATGAACAGTGGGCCTCCATATTCATTTTGTCCTTGGGCACTAGAGACAGTTCTGGCTGTGGCAGCCACCACCCTCACTAACACCTTCCACCACCATTGAGTTACCCCTGGAGGCTGCTCTGGGACAGGGGTGGGATCCGGTCCTTTATTCTCAAAAAATACTGAGCCGGGCTGGTCAGCACAGGAGAACAGAGGCCAACATACCGAGAGGGAACATGCTGACAATCAGGTTCCTGAATAAGCTTGAAACCACAACCTATTTTCAGTATGAATAAATACAAGCACTTGTGCATATGGCGAAGTGGCTATTCCAAAGGGGGAGGCATACTTTTTTTCACTTTTTAAAGTTTCTGAAATCAGCATCTCATTTTACAGTATTTTACATGTAGTATTGTTTACAGTATTTTAAATATAGTATTGTTTTCTCCAAAAGCAGTTATTCTATTATGAAGGTATCTCATACTCAACAATGACTTACAGTGAAAGAAGAAAGCCATTTCCTCCTTCTCAGCCATCGCCCTTCAGTTGAGAAATCCTCCTGGATTCAAAGCAAGGGTCCTAGGAGGGGACAAGCCTGTGCCTAGGTTGATTCCTGCACCGAGAGCCTCACAACTCACCCTGCGAGGTCGTGTCTTGGTCTGCTGTGTAAACTGAAGGGCCCAGTCCCTGGTGGTGGGCTTGGAGTGCTCGAACCCACAGTTCCCCGGGGGCAGCTTGAGATGTTCAGCTCTGTAAATAAGGTGTTGGCCCTCGCTGTCAGGGAGGGGCTCGATGACATAGCTGAGGTTACTGCTCACCATAATCAGCCCTCTGTGGATAGGAGAAATAGAATCTCTGGTCAAAGATTATGGTCCTGGAAAAGTCCCTTGCACAGGTCTTAGTTTCAAAATGACAATTGGTTTTGATCATTGGCTTTTAACCTTACTATGGGACCAGGCACCCCTTTATGAGAATCCAGTGCAAGCTCAGACCTGCTCTCCAGAGAAGTGCACATGTACATGAAGCGTGATGCACAATCTCAGGGCGCTTGGACCCCCTAAGCTCATCCCCGGAATCCAGGTGAAGAGTCTCTGGATTAGGGAAGCTCAGAAAGTTCTAAAAAAGCTGTACCCAGGATGCTTAATACTTACAAAGGATGGTAGGACTCGGATTCCAAAAAGCCTCCCAAACCCAAACGTGGCATATGACAAATAACAGATCAAAACTTTACAGACTCAGAAAAAGCAGTCGAGTGGCCAGAGAAAGAACACTGGCCTGCAGGTGAGGAGACCCAACACTCCATTGTCACACGCTCTCCGGCAAACATTTTAAACCTCCCTGAGCCTGTTTCCTCATTCCCAAAGTGGAAATAATTTAGCAACTCATCAGGACTCTTGGATGATTACATGGAAAGAGAAGTGTCCTTGTGCTTGGAACAAAGCTAGATGCAACACTGATGCCACCCGTACTAGTCCCAACTGCCCCATGTCAGTGCCGCAGCTATCCGGTGAAGTGACATCCACAACGAAGCAAGTGTTACTACTTTTGTTCCCCTTGGTTATAGGTTCTAGCATTGAACCCCAAATAAAGATGTCTTCATCCATTTAATTCTTTCACTCATTGAGCCCTTACTCTGTCCCAGACACAATATAAAAACACAATCCTTGTCCTCAAGTAATTCACAGTCCACCAGAGGACTGTCACTCACTGCACAAACATTTACTGGACTCCCGCTGTGTGCCAGGCATTGTACTAGTTGCTGAGAATGAGCAGTGAACAAGACAAAGTGTCCGCCCTCGTGAAGCTTAGAGTCTATACATGGGAACCAGTCATGACAACAGATAGCAGAGAGAACAAAGAGGTTTCATCGCCCTAACACTGATGGATTGATGCAGCTGCTTTAGAGTGTTTCCTCCAGGCTTCTGTGGGCTCATCCGGCCTCAGTGAGAAGGAGGGCCACGTTTATTATCTGTCGCTGTCACAAACGATCGATGAAGGGTGAGTAGAGGCCCATGCAGCAGGTATTTGCCATCCTTGACACAGGGAGAGGAATACGATAGCAAGGAATGTACTCGAGGCTCTGGGGTAGGAGGAAGCCGCGGAAGTATTTCATGTGCTCCAAAACCTCATGCAGGTGTGCGTGCATCCAGAGAGCTCGGAACCTACGGGATCTCCAACTCAGTTCTTTGCCACTGTCAATGGGCAGGGCCTCCCTCCTAGGCTGTCTCAGCTCCCCTCCCTACCACAACCCCCTCGGGATCCCCGCCCACGGTTTGCCCTTTGGGAAGAGCCTGTGACGCTTTCAGGAAAGACAGTGCCAGGCCCTGATCAGCAGCAGGCCTTCCCGGATGCCATCCCTGGCTGACCTCATTCCGGAGCCGGGGAGCCTGATGACTTCCCAGCCGCCTCACCCAGGCTGACGCAGCAATACCCAACCAGCCCCCCAGCGGGACACGTAAGGTGCTCCCTGGACAGCTGGGGATGGGAGTGGGGCAAAGGGCAAGGGTCACATCCACTCCCTAATCCAGACAGGAAAGGGTAGAGGGGAGAGCTGCCGCAGGCATCCTGTTCCTAAGTTATCTCATCCCAGCTGTCCAAGACCCCTCCCATCACCTCAGTCTCCCCAGACGGCTACAGACAGAGGGCGTGACCACAGCCAGCCCACGGTTCTGCGTGTGTCAGGTTGTGGCCACTGAGATTATACCCAGTGAGTGGAAAGTTCCATATAGGAATCGGGGAAGTTTCGGTGTAGGGCCACACGGTGCAGTTGACCTGGCATCCCTTGAACAAGCCTCTGGGCCAAACAGGACAGAGACCAAGCCCGAGTTTGGTGCACAGTAAATAATGATAATAATCCTAGCGGCTCTAGAGTGCCGAGCTTCTGCTGTGGACCAGGCACTGTGCTAAGCATTTTACTATTCACACCAGCTTCTAGGATCCTTACAAATATTACCCCCAACATACAAACTGGGAAAACTAAGGCTTGGCAAGTTTCATTAATTAGCCCAAAGTCACAAAAATGGTAAGAGTGAGAGTGAGGATTTGAACCTAAGCATTCTGGTTCACCCCAAGTCCCACAGCCTTAAGCCTGACTGTACACTGCCTTGGTCAGTCACTACAGCCCCGTGGAGCGGATCAGAAAGACAGCCCCAGTTTGCGGATGGCTCAGTGACGGTGACAGCAACTCTCCTCTGAGGTGTGACTGACCCCTGCCCAGCTGCCTGTCTGAAGTCAGACCCCAGTTCCCGGGAGACACGGCAGAGGAGGCGTTCAACCCACTTTTCATCCTCAGGTGTCATTTACTGAGAGCTAAGTGAATGCCAGGCACTGTGCTTACAAACGTTATTCTTATTTCATTCCCGCATCAGTGTAATAAGGTAGGTACCATCATAGGTCCCATTTCATAAATCCAGAAACTGAGGCTCAAAGAGATCAAATAATAAGCTCTCATGGGGAATCTGGGGCCAAAGATTTAAGGTCTGGCCCCCATGGCTTGAACTAACCTCTGTGCTGTGTGCCTCCCTCAGGGAGGTCGAAACTTAGTGTCAGCCATCTCTAGGGTTGGAAGTCCCAGAGGCATCTACTAGAATATTCTACAGTGTATTAGAAATATAGATGTCTGGACCCAACCTAAAAGACCTGATGCTGCAGGCCTGAGCGTCTGCACTGTGGACAAGTCCTGTGGGCAAGTCCCTGCACAGCCACCCTCAGGAACTGTGGCCTGGACTCCTCACGCTGCAGCAGGAACTTGCTTCCACAAGGCCCCGAGCAATGCTGTTTCAGGGAGCTTGCACTCGTCACCTAATGTAAATCCACCAATGACGTCGATATTGCTGTCTCCCTTTTACAGGAAAGAAGACTGAGGCCAGAGACCTGAAGTAGCCTGTCAGGTTTTAAATCAGGAACTGTCTGACTCCGGAATTTAAACTTGTCAAAACTTAATGGTGCTGCCCTCTGAGGGCTTAATCCGGACAGTGCCTGACACAGAGGTGACACTAATCTGTTCTGCAGAAGGAAGGCAAAGTATCCAGAAGGGGAAAAGGACACGCCACTTCTTATGGGTTGGCTGCATGTATACGATAAGCCACCTCCTTCTGCCCTCGGCCACCACCTTCCTGAGACTCTGCTAATTCTCTCTGCAGCCCAGGGCTTCTCATACCGAAGGGCCCTTTTGATGGTCTGGTCTACTCTCGCTTTACAGATGGGAGGAAAGCCCCCCAGGAAAGGAATTTGCCCAAGCTCACCCAGCGAGTTAATGTCGGAGCCAGGGGCAGACCCCAGGTCTCCTAGTGTCCTGGGGAGGCATCAGCACAGCCAAGGTAAAAACAAGCAAAAAAATTTAATGAGGAAAGGACTGCTATGATATGAGGGTGATCCATCAAATAGATCACTATGGATATTTATTGCATACCTTTGAAAGACTTTTTATACAATTAAACTTGACAGACATTTGTATTAATACATAAGATACTATGCAGCCATTAAAAGAATGAGTTAGATCTATTTGTACCTAAAAAGTAATGCTGAATTGGAAAAAAATCACCGGACTGTATGGATAGGGTAGTCTCATTTGGATAAAAAAGAAATCTACATATCAATCATGCACACTCCCAACAGTTGGGGAATGGGATTGGTTGGAAGGGTGGGACAGGATAAAGAACTTTCACTTTTTTAAGTTTATACATTCCTGTATGATTTGAATGTTTAACACTAACCCTATATTAGTTATATATAATGATAATTTTTAATAAGAATTTTTTAAAAAATAACTTACCAATCAAGTACCCCTGCTGCTGATAGACAGCGAGCTAGGGACACACAGACATACACACACACACACACACACACACACACACACACACACATGTGTTTTCCAGAATTCACAGGCTTAGAGACACTTCAGCCCGGCACTGTCTAGATTTCTTCACAAATAATAATCACTCTTTACATGTATGCCATGTGTTAGCGTGCAAAGCATTTGTGCATGGGAGAAGTTGTGTACACATTTAGAGGGTGGGTCCCTACTCTGAGACAGGCCTGTGGGGTCTGGACACTTGCAATCCCCCATGAGATGGTATCCCATTTCTTTTTATTGGTGTAGTTTATAAGTATCCATAGCTTCTGTCCAATTCTCAAAGGGGTCAGGGGCCCAAATAAGATTACAAAGGATTTTACTACATATCTATGTTCTTTTTTGTGAGGGATATTTCTAAAAGGATACACAAGAAACTGGTAACAGCGGATGTCCCTGGGAAGGGGGGAAATCTGGGGTGCAAAAGAGAACTATCTTTCATTGTATACTCTTTTGTATACTCTTTTGTACTATTTGAATCTATTCATACTATGATCATATATTACTTCTTCAATTAAGTAACCTAAAGAACTGCTTTAGAGAGAAGAGGGCCCAGAAACCATCTAGAAGCTCAGCTGAATTCCTGTTTTTTATATCATCAGCCTGAATATTCTACTCAGTGCAAACCCTACCTATTTTCTCCAATCACAAGGAGCGTGTTTCCAGGAGAGAAGAACAATCACTATGGAGATTTTCCATTGCAGCAGTGCTTTATGAGCCTTGGGAGGCGACTTGAGTTGGGGCGACATGGGTTTGAAGGCTGCCGCTGTTGCAGCTGCTCCTTCTCCAGGGTCCAAATGGAGCCATCTGGCATGAGTCTCCAGCTCTTAAATCAATCCACCCACAACCTTGGTTTCTCAAGGTGTGTAGTGAGAGGGCTGGGAAAGTAAGGCGAGTGCGTCTCACCAGAGGAAGCGTGCAAAACAGAAACACATGGACACTCAGCCAGTTTCCCCCGCCAGCACCGCTGCTGGAATGATTTACAAGAGGCCAAGCCAAGTTCCCACTGCTCCAGACGGAGCAGATGGAGGAAGAGGCAGAGAGAAGCAGGTCACACCTGCATGTCCCCTTTCCTCCTTCTTGGGAAAAACTTTGTTTACTTGCAGACTGCAGGTGGTGGTGGCTGGGCCTGCAAATACCTCCATGAGGCCAGTTGGCTTCGCCCAACCATGTCACTTTAGTGGGGGGATTGGGGAGCCAGTCTGTTATTGCCTCCCAGCCAAAGCCTGTTTCCTGCCTAATCCCCTGCAGCCGACTCACCATAAAGCCTTCAAATGAAGACGTGGCCCAATTTATAAACAGACACGTGGGACCTGCAGCGTGTGCGGTCTTCGATTTGTATAAGAGCCTGGCAATCTTAGTTTCACTGTTAAAAGATGATAAGAATCCCGTATGTTTATAAAGTGCTATAGAGTTAAAATAACAATTTCTACCATGCCTAACATCAATGTGCATTTTAGATGAAGAAACTGAGGGCTCCAAAAATTACAATGTCTGTTTCTCCCCCACTTATGTAGGGCATGGGCATAAGGTGGGTACCCAATATTAATCTGTCGAATGAAAGAAGCAATCCTTGAATGAATCAATCAATCGGTAAAGAGAGAAAGAGTACACAGTAGAGCCACATCCTACCAGCTCACGAGAGCCAATTAAGGGCCTGTCTTTTCAATTCTGCCTTCCAGAACATCATGATGGTAGCTTGAAATTGGGTGGGAGTATCTTCACCAGCATATTGGCAGGTGCTACAAAGCAGGGCTTTTGCCTTTTCTTAATAGAGCCCGTTTACCAACACACCGGAAACACATAATACAGGCAATCAAAACCCAGGCGATTAGAATCCAGGTGTTTTAGATCATCATCCTTTTTCCAAAAAAAAAAAGTACAAGAGGGGAGAGTGGCAGGGGCCCAAATAAATAATATTACTTCAGCATACACGTGTAGATGCTACTATATACAAGGCACTAGGGCAGGCTGGTGGAAACAGATATTTGAGGTGAAATTCATCTTCGCAAGGAACATGCATTCTCAGGCACAGACTGGAACGTGCACACAGGTCAGCTGGGGGTCTTGGTAGAGTGCGGCTTGACACCCAGGAGGTCTGGGGGGGACATGAGCTGCTGCATTTTGGACAAGCTCCCAGGCAAAGCTGATGCTGCCGTCTAAGACCACAGCTAGAGAAGCAGGGGCCTGGGAGGCCGCTGGCTGCTGGCAACGTGGCAGTGCCATTCTGAGGTCAGCCAGCTATTAACACTCGGAATCCTCACAACGCCAGGCATGTTCTTTTTATCCACATTTTACAAATGAGACCATCGAGACACCCAGCTGGTAGACTGCTGCTAGCTCAAACGCGGCAGTCTGGCTGGAAGAAGCAAGGGTCACTCTAGAACGTGCCATCTGGTTGGAACTTTGCTGTCGATTTCCTGTCTTGACAATTATCCTTGCCTCTCCTTCCTCCCCCGACTCTGTTCATTAACCGTCCATTTCCTATTTCACCACCTACAAGTACTTCTACCAGAGAAGACTGAGAAGTGTGACTGAATGCTCAAACCCATCAATGCTCAGTATATTAACCATGTGTCTCTGTTGCTTTGACATCTGGGGTCTTCATGACCCTGGAGGGACCGCTCCTTCCAGGCTTAGCCAGCTCCTGGCGATGGCAGACGGTTTTCCAGCTTCCTTGCCTTTCACGTGCAAGCCAGCCAACCCAGAGCCCACACCCCAACCATCTGCTTTATTGGGACCTTAGCCTCTGGGCCATCCTCCCACCCTAATCACCCCAGAACTGGTACAGGACAACTAGGGACAGAAAGCCCTACGCCCCAGAGCCTACTGAAATTATTTAAACCAGCCAATCCTAAACCTGTTTACTCTGCCTCACCCACTCCTTCCTGCAGAAACCACAGAAAGGCTCCTGCCCACACTTCTGGCTCCCTCTGCCCCTGACCAGCCCCAGGGCTTCCCCATGTGCCTCCACTTCTGTGGCAGAGCAAGCGCCCGCCTCTTTCTGTATGGCCATCTTTTCAATGGCACTTGTCTCCGGATTTGTTGGCCTGACCATACCTGCATGATAATAAAACCTGTATTTTAAAACATCAAGTTCATCAGGGAAGTTAAACAAATCCCGGTGCATTTGCGGATTATCTAGGATTTCCTTTGCCCCTCCCAGGCCCGGCCCTTCTCAGAGCTGGTGCTCACACACGCTCAGTGGACTCCTTCCCAAGGCCCTTGCCTTAGGCTGGCCCTGCTTGTCCCAGGGAGAGTGCCGGGTGCCCCCTGCAGCCTCAGGGTCTCTTACCTAATTCCCCGGCAGGTGCTGAGCGTGACGCTGGACTGCTCTGCCTCCCTCACCGCGCCGTGGTAAAAGCAGTGGTCCTAGCAAGGAGAGAGGAAGTGGTCAGGCCAAAGAACATTGATAAGCACGGCAATGCTAATGTCTCGTGGAGGTGACAGATGACTCAGCTTATCATGTATCTACTCCAACCTATGGCACCTCACAACCTGCAAAGAGCCTTCCCAGCCGCCATTTCATTTGACGCTTATAATAATCCTGGGAGAGGGGACAGGGCAGATGTCATTATCTCCACTGAATAGAGAAGGAAGCGGAGGCTCAGAGGAGCAGAGAGATTTGCCGAAGGTCTCTCTGCTAGTTGGAGAACCCAGGACTTCCGGATGTAGTTCAGAGTGCTTGCCACGGCATGTTAGCCACGGGAAACAGCGATTTGTGAGAGAGCCTGCCTCCCCACCAACGTCACCTTTGTAACCCCCTGCTGTGAGTCGAGTAGTGTCCCCCTAAAATTCATGTCCACCAAAACCTCAGAATGTGACTTTATTTGGAAATAGGGTTTTTTGCAGGTGTGATTAAAGGATGAGACCATATTGGATTAGAGCAGGTCCTAAATCCAGGTGCCTTTACAAGAAGAGACAGCCAGACACACAGACAATACAGAGAGACACACAGAGAAAGAGAAGAGGCCATTTGAAGATGGAGGCAGAGATTCGAGTGATGAAGCTACAAGCCAAGCAGCACCAAGGATGGCCAGGAGCCGCCAGAAGCTATAAGAGGCAAGGAAGGACTCTTCCCTAGAGGCTTTGGATCAAGCACGGCCCTGCCCACACCTTGATTTTGGACTTCTAGGCTCCAGAACTGTGAGAGAATAAATTTCTCTTATTTTAACCTCCAAGTTCGTGGTGCTCTGTTACAGCAACCCAAGGAAATGAATACACCCCCATCTCTTCCCAGCTCACATTGCCTTCCTCCCTTGATTCCCCCCACACCTGGGCCATGCTTGGTTTGGCTCCTGCATCCATGAGGTCTGCTCTGCTCTCTAGTCATTGTGTCTCACAGCTGTCTGGTCTTCCCAACCCAGCTGTGGAGCAAAAATTCATGTCAGGCCCTGGGCTAGGCCCCAGAGACACGATAATGAGCAAATAAAGACATAGCTTTGGCCATCGTGGGGCTTAGGGTCTTGTGAGAGCCAGCCATTAATTAGAAAGCCAAACAAAGACACAATTATAGGCTGGGCATATTGGCTCATGCCTATAATCCCAGCATTTGGGGAGGCTAAGGCAGGAGGATCACTTGAGGCCAGGAGTTGGAGGTTGCAGCGAGCTATGATCATGCCACTGCACTCCAGCCTGCACAACAGAGTAAGACCCTGTCTCTAAAAAGAAAAGAAAAGAAAAAGATTAAAAAAGAAGATATAATTATAAACCTCAAGGAGTGGATTGAACTAAATGTTTGAGGTGCTGGCAGATGGATAAGTAGGGTAGCCATAGTATTCATGAGGCAAATACAGCACTGTTAAGTGTGCTAAAGTCCAAAACCAAACAGATGGGCAGAACCAGGACTGCTCCCAACAAACCAAGGGGTAACAAGAAGGGACACATTCCTGTAAGCTTCTTCCCAAATCGGTCAAGAGAGATAAGATGGTCAGAACAGATAAAAGATAAAAACCCTCAGAGTAGAGCCAGGTTCCAAAGAGATCTTAAGGAGGTAAACTCACAGTTACAGACATGGAAGCTTTCTCTTTTCCAACGCCCTGAGGCTGAGCAGGGCCAATCATAAATGCTCAGGCCTCCACACAAGTGACAGTCCAAGGGGTCCACCTCTAGGACCATGCTGCTTGCAGTGGTTGCTCTGTCCCCTGGGCTGTGACCCAGCAGACAGCTAACCCATGTGTCTGTGTTCTCTGGCTCCAACTCCCTCTAAGCATGAGTACAGCCTAATAATTAAATTGGAGCATTGTGGCACAGCCAGGCCAGGTTGAAATCCAAGCCCCCAGTCCTCTGCTGGGGCCAGGCAAAAATCCCTCCTTCCACTCTTTCCAGCCCAGAGCCCATCTGCTTTCAAACGCCAGCCTGTCACGTGGCTCCTCTCCCTACCCCTGGGCTCTGGGATTCAGAGGCTGACCATGAAGCACTCAAGTCCCCAACCTGGTCCTCAGAACTCAACAGTGGGGCCACGAACTCCACAGCACAGGACGATTCACAGGGAGAAGGGGGCCAGGCCGGCCCGGAATAAGTGGGGCTCACAGACTCTGGAATGACAGAGTCAAGAAGTTTAGAAACGCATGTTGGCTACAGTTTTCAAACGCTGGTGCCGTCACTAATAAAGAGAATTCAGGTCCTGGGATGGCTGGGAAGAATCCCTGCACCTCTTCCTACCTTTGGATTGATGCTAACAGTGTTTGTGGCCCGGGTATTCTCTGGAATAGCCTAGCAACTGGTTTTGTAATATGCTTTCCAATCCACAGAGGGTTTTTCTAGATGTTATCCCCTGTGATCATGACGCCTGCCTCTTACTGTTACCACCAATAAGACCTAACATCTGTCCAGCTCTTACCACTGGATGGACAACATAGATAGGCAGCCTCTTTTTTCCTTCAACGCTGACCACAGTCTTATGAGATAGATATTATTCTCACGCTTTAAAAGGGGGAAATGGAAGGTTAAAGAGGTTTAAGACATTTGCAAGGTGACACAGCAAAGTGGAGACTGGAACCCAGCAGCCTGGCCCCTGCTCCATCCTCTGCCTCTCCCAGCAGTGGCAAAGGGAGGACTTGATTCGTCAGAGCTCCGTCATCCCTCCGCTTCCCGGGCAACAAAGGAGACACGTTCTAGTCTAAGCCTTGCCCCTTACTAGTTATCTGAACTTAGGCAAGTTACTCTTCCTCTTCTCTCAATTTCTTCATCTGTGAAATGTAGGGTTGGAAGAGATGTTTATGAATTCCCATAAAAACCAGTGATTCATCTTACCCTTCTGTGGTTCTGCAAATCAGATATCAGCATATCCACTTTATAAATGAGGAAACTCAACACCAGTGTGGGCAAAAGGGTTGTTCAAGGTCACATAGCTAGTTAAAGCCAAGACTACAAGCCTGGCTTCAGACCCCAAACCCTGTAACTGTTTCCACGGGAACATGTTCACGGACCCGTCCCCCTGTGACCTGACCTAGATCGGGGCTGTAGCCTAAAGGCCTCCCTGATGAGTCTTGATAAGATTCCCAGAACTCCAGCTACCCCAGGCCAAGTTCGGCGGCAGAGTGCAGTCCTCAACAGTGGGGTCAAGTACAGCTGAATGGTTTATTCCATTCCCATTTCTCTTTGAGATGTCAGCTTCCAAATGAAACACTGACTGAGAACTCCATGGGCCTGGGTGGGGGGCTTTGCAAGAGCGCAGTACCAGGGGCAGTCAGAAAACAATGAGTGTCCCATGGTGCAGTCAACAAGACCTTCAGGAAGGAGGGGGACAAGGGATGCGGGGACGTTCTCTTCCACTCCTGTTTCTGAAAGGCCCTTCAACATCTCTGCCTAACACACAAGCTGAGAACACAAAGAACAAGTCACAGATCAGTCATGAAGTCACTGCATTCCGTGGCTTCTCCGCCTGATGGGGCCACCCCGAGGGGGCTTTCATAGCAGGAAGCATGAGCTCATGGCAAACTGTGGACTGAGACCCATTCTTGAGCTGTGGGTACAGTGGCAGGATTATGGGTAAATCATTTCTTTAACTTAAAGTTTTATTAATCTGTGGGTTATTAACATGAAGTGGCAGGAGCCAAACTCAGAGGAGGGTGTTTCTGTGAGGTTGCAATGGCTAGAGGCTTTCTAGGTAAGCCCAAACCACTCCAACCCTGCCCCCGGAAGCAGAGAACAGACCTCTCAAGAGGAGAGGACAGGTTTTGACCAAGGGGCACTGAAGAGTGTGGAGTCACAGCTGGACAGCCTCCCTGGAGAAGACACAGCCTGACTGCTCGCACAGGCACCGGCCATGCCAACTGCTTCCCCAGCCAGGAAGGCCTTGGTGCAGAAGGCGGCACTGCTCTTCACACCCAGCCTCAAACACAGCCCCCGCGCTGCCTGGTTACTAGGCTCTAGCTCTTTCAGATCTATCGAACCATAACCATCCGTGTTGCTTTCGCCACCCAGGGGTAAGCTGATGACCTGATCTGAGCCGTTAATGACTGACAGTGGCTGGCGCTGTCTTGTCAGACACCTGCACTCTGGCAGGGTTATTGCGAAGAATGGGCCATGTGGGATCTCGGGTTCCCTGGGAAGCTGCTGCAGGAGCCTGAGGCCGGGGGCCTCTCCTGCTGTCCTCCGCACACCTCGCAGGCCATGTGCCTCTTCCCTTCTCCTTCACCCCTCCTCACCAGCGCAGGCTCTGAGAAAGGACTTGAATCCAGGGTTCCCCAACTCGGGCACTGTGGCTCTTGGAGCAGGATAATTCTCTGTTGTGGAGGGTCTGTCCTATGCATTGCAGAATGTTCTGCAGCATCCCTGGCTTCCTGCCACTAAATGCCAGTAGCTTCCCCTCAGCCCAGTTATGACAATCAGAACCGTCTACAAACATTGCCAAGTGTCCCCTGGGGCAGGGTGTGGGGGGCATAGCTCCTGGCTGACAACCACTGCTCTGACCCTACAAATTCTAACAGGCACCCCGTAGGAAGAGCTAGCAAATCACGAAATGGGTGTGATTCACTACCCTAAACGTCCAGCAGTGACGTGTGGTAAAGCAAACTAACATGTATCCATCTGAAAGACCATTTTCCAAATGACAAATCTTTGACTTTGTGCAAACATCCCCACTCAAAAACAACTTTCAGGGGAAAAATGTCCAGTCTAAAGATATCAGCAAAATAAGAAAACCTTCATAACTTAAATTCACATCAAAAAGGCAGACTGCAAGATTTGTACGCACAGTGGTTACAAGTCTGTGAATCTTATACCTCCATTTAAAAGAGGGTGAGGGTGGGCCGGGCGTGGTGGCTCATGCCTGTAATCCTAGCTCTCTGGGAGGCTGAGGCGGGCAGATTGTTTGAGCTCAGGAGTTCGAAACCAGCCTGAGCAAGAGCGAGACCCCGTCTCTACTAAAATTAGAAAGAAAGTAATTGGACAACTAAAAATATATAGAAAAAATTAGCCGGGCATAGTGGTGCACGCCTGTAGTCCCAGCTACTCAGGAGGCTGAGGCAGGAGGATTGCTTGAGCCCAGGAGTTTGGGGTTGCTGTGAGCTAGGATGACGCCACAGCACTCTAGCCTGGGCAACACAGGAGACTCTGTCTCAAAAAAAAAAAAAAAAAAAAGGAGGAGAGGGTGGCTGATCAAATATCTAGTTGGGTGAGGTGGGATTATGGGTAAATCATTTCTTTAACTTAAAGTTTTATTAATCTGTGGGTTATTAACATGAAGCAAAGAAAATGTATGCTTCACAATGGCGTCCACCAATTTTAATCAGATGTAATTACCCTAAAATAGTCTATTTGTTTGTTTAGCCATTTTAACTAGCAAAGGAGAGGGAGCACTTATGAAACAAAAAAATACACATTTTGCTTCTCCTGTTTGCTCCCTTGGTCTTCGGTCAGGAGAAATAATCCTCGAGAGGAGGGACCACCTCCATCCAGACTCTCCTCAGTCCGCAGGAGTGGTACCGGGAGAGGGCAGCGGCGAGATAGACATCTGCTGACCCGAACTCACCTCTGATTTCAGCGTGGTGGTTTGAGGGTTACCACTTGGAGTATAGTGGGTTTCCGTGTAGGCTGGAGCAAAAAGGTGCCTGCAAACAATAAAAACAGACATTTGTATCTTTAGATAATGGGCTCCATCCTCCTGGTAACAGCGGCAGGTGATTTTAACTGAACAAGGCAGGGCCATCTCAAGCATCTGCATGCAAAAGAAACTACACAGACAAAAGGGGCTAAGGAACAAAAAGGAAATCTAGAGGAAGTCGGTTTTTAATTTTATATTTACTGGGATCATTACTCCAACTATTAATGGATGGAGTTGATAGCAACTAGAGCAACGATCCTAACGTTTTTCTGGGTTTGGGTAAAATACACATGCAAACACATGCAAAATTTTTCAGGGTCTATGGACTCTCCTTGATTGGTTTTTCCAGCACTGTGTTTGCCAATTTTTAGTATCGGCAGACCAATTTTTCTTTAAGAGAATCCCTCTTTCCTGATGGATATTTTGGTGAGATTGTTAATCACCTTGTCCTACTTGGCCCTGGCCAAGGGGTGGCCCTTGTTTCAAGCTAAGCCAATGGAGTGATGTCGCAAGGTCTGAACAGATGGAAGCAACACATCTGTTCCTCTGTCCCTGCTACATGGGTTCCCAGAGCTGCCTTCGCCTGTCCTTTCTGAGACCTAGTGGTTCAGAATTTCCTCAGACCTGGTAGTTCTGTATGTTACCCTTCCAATAAATTCATTATTTTCTTTTTAAACTTGGACATTGGTTCCTCTCTTGTCACAGACCCCTTGAAGTAGAGGTTAAGAATCCTCATTGAAGTCCCAGCAACACCAAACACGGTTCCTAGAATTTCTCTCTAAAAGTTAAAAGTAAAAGAGCCAAATGGATGTTTCAACTAGTTCAGCCACATTAAAAGCAGATTTGATCTATAGAAATTCCAGCTCAGTGTACAAAAAGGTTTATAATGAAAAAGCACCATTAGAAATTGGAGTCTGACAAAAAAAAAAGAATGATGTGAATCTATATACGCTAATATGGAAAGATGTCTGAAATGGAGTTAGCTAGGAACAGTAAATTTCAGAAAAGTACGTATCTTAAAAGCCTACTTTAATGAAAAACTAGTAATTATACACATTTGTGCATGCATTGAAAACAAGTGGAGACACAAATGCCTGTTGTTAATGCTGATTATGTCAGGGGATTGCATATGATATTCACCATATAAGTTACACATTTCTGAAATTGGTTGACTTTCGAGTCAATTATTGGATTATATATTTTGAAAACTGGAAGCCTAATTTAAAATTGCCTTTAAAAAGAAGAAAATGTAGGCCGAGGCCAGCACAGAAAGCCAAAGAAACCTGTAGGAACAACCGGGTTTTGAAAGAAGTGGCATTTCCCAGCAAGAGAGGGTCGTTATGGAGGGTCTCTAGAGTCACTTCCAGCTGTATGTTCTAGAACTCCTGAATCTCCGATGTCCCTCCTCCCCCAGCATGTAGTCAGAAGGTAAGTGCCACGAGAATGGTCTCTCATATTATGTCAAGGCCTTCAACGTGCAGGCTTGGACAAGCAGAAAAGAAACCCAACAGGGAAATGTAAAAATAAAGCAAAGCTTGCATAGAAAAACTCTCATTCACATGGAAACTTTGGGTCAGCAGCAAGAACTTGCCAGAATCTATCTCTCTCTCTTTCTCCTTAGCTGGTCGTAGCTGTGAGATAACCGGCCAGGGGTTCAAGGGAAGAGTGTGTGGGAGATAAACTGTAAGCCCCATGGGGGCAGAGGCCAAGCAGTTTTGCTCACTGGTATATATCAGTACTTAACATTTGTTCAATGAAAGGATTACTTAATGAATGAATGAATGAATGAATGAATGGGTAGTCAGTGACTGGGAGCTTAGAGCATGGTCTGGAGTCTGGAAGATGGAGGTTTCAATTTCAGCTCTGACATTTACTCTCTCCACGGCTGTGAGCAAGTTACTTTACCTCTCCAAACCTTTGTTTCCTCTTGCAAAAAAAATAAGGGTAATACACCCACTGACTTGATGGGGCTGTCATGAGAATCAAATGACATGATAACGCGCGCAAGAGGCTTAACACCATGCCTGGCACAGAGCGGAGCTCAGTACGAATTAGTGATTATCATTACCGCTCAGTACGAATTAGTGATTATCATTACCGCTTTCAACGGGGATTATGATGAAAGAACCCAGAAAAACTCATGGAATTTCTCTAGTTTTCTCTAACTCTCCCAGCCATTAACTCTCCAGGACATCACTTGAGAGAGGTGGTAAAAAGCAATTTGCTCATTCCTGCAGCCCATTTCCTGGTCTGCTTTCCCAGGCTGCATAATGGACCGCTGGTCAGGGGTTCAGAGTTTAATGGCCCATCCCAGGTGCCAGTGGGGAGATGTGAATTTTCTCTCAGGAAATGCCCTCCTGGTAGATACATTCTCAGCCTCTTCTGAGTCTTAGCAGGGGGAAAGGAAATCATTCATCCAGTGCCATTGAGATGCTCCAAAGACAGCAATCCAAACTGAGCCTCAGAGGTGTCCACGTTCCTGCCAGTTCTCAGCCACAGGTCCTCAGAAGACAAGAATTCTTCTGCCGCTTCTTATTCTAGGGATCTGCCCCACCCCCCATGATAGGACTCTCAGAGCCTCAGCACCGAAAGGGACCCCAGAAATTACACAGCCAAACCCACTAGACCATGGGTGGGGACCACGGTTGTTTTTCAAGGGTTCTCCCCAGGGACCGGCACCTGGCAGGCAGGCAGTGTATGTCTACTCTGTGAAAAAGTGAATGAGTGAATAGATGCGCGAACAAATGAATGAACCTTCTACCTAGTGTAGGAATCTGCCAGATGGCCTTTCAACACTGGACACCTCCAGGGACAGGGAGCTCCTGAGACCACCCACTCCATGTCTGACCACATGCAGTGGTTAAAGTTCTTACATTGAATTAAAAACCCCCTCTCTGTAACTGGCACCCACGGCCTGCATTCTGGCTTCTGAATCTACACAGAACAATCTGCTTCCTCTTCCACCTGCCCACCCTTCCTGAACCAACAGCATCAGCATCACCTAGAAACTACTTAAAAACGCAACCCGTCAGGCCCCACCCTAGACCTACTTATTCAGATGGAAACTCTGAAGTTGGGGCCCCACCTGTTTTAACCACTCTGCAACTGCCTCAAGCTAGGCCATGTATGCCCGCCTGCCCAGGTGCTGCTGTCCCCTCAGGGAGGAGGCCACATGGCCACTGGGCGGCCCGGCCAGCCCCCAGCTGCCCCTTCTCAACCACATCTTGTTCTCATCTCCTCCCGGACAAGGGGCTGGCTCAGCAGATCGGCAGGAAGCCGTCTCTCACCACGGGATTGCATTAGGATTTTCCGGAAATGAGTTGCGAGTGATGTGCCTCCAGGAAGAGAGAAGGACTATCGAAGATTTCCCATCCTGCCCCCTCCTTTTTCGAGCTTTGACAGCAAAGCAATTTCTGTTGTAACCTACTGCCTTCCACCCTGTCCACTCTGCTCAGGAGCCCACACGCAGGCAGAGAGCAGCAGGACGCTCCCAGAAGCGTCGTGACAGTAGCAGCCAGCACCGCACTGCTGATTTTGGGCAAAACACAGGTCGCTCAGACCCCACAGTTCTTGAGCAAAACCTACATCTTCAGAGTCCCACCTAGGAAAATAAGCTGCCCCTAAATACTGGACTCAAAACATTAGGTCGCTCTCCAGGGAAGAAGAACGGGAGCCTGTTTGTACAAGCAGCCAGGCCCTCAAAGCACCCTGCATTTGGAAAACAGCTCTGACCCATCTTTCTAAGGCTGGGAGCCTTCAAACCCAGGACAATTCCTTTAAGAACTATTATATTTATTGTCAGACAGATTTCAAACGCCTCTCCTAAACTCCCTCTAGAGAGGGAGGAGCAGCAAGACTAATGTAAATTTGCAAAACATCTTCTGGGAGCTCAACCCTTCTTCCTCCGGCTTCAAATAAGCAAAACCACAAAGACAAAGCGAAAACAATTTCCAAACTACCTTGAAAAACAACCTATACAGACAGCTCAGCATAAGCAAGCCTCGCTCCATTCATTTCAGTGGCTATTTTTACTGACGTCTCCTTTCCCAGGTCTCGCTGCATCTAGTTCTTCCAAGGGTACCCGGGCATTTATACCCTGATGATGCCTGGGGAGGCACAGCCTTGCTGGTCCTCTTTTATTTCACTTGGAGGGTTTTCGCCCTGCCTGTGTTAGTGATAACGTCATTCTTAATGTCATCATAGGGGACTTAGCTCAGTAACTGCACAACACCCAGAAAGTCTATGAAAAAATATAAAATCCCAGGCCCCCATCCCAGTCCAACTAAGAAGTACATTCTCCAGGAAAGAACTTAAAAAAAAAAAAAAAAATCTGTATTTTTAATAGTTTTTCCAGGTGATATTTTTTCAGTCTCTGGGAATTTCTACATTTGATCAATTTTAACATTTTAAATTCTTTTTCCCATTTCTAGCCCTCTAATCACCCTCCAAATATCTTGATACCAGCACAGCACAGAGGGAAAGTCTGGGCTCAGAATACTTTGGTTTGAGTACCAGCTGCACTGGGCAACTGTCCTTCCAAATCCTGGAAATAAGGCAAAAGATGACTGTGGTTCCTTTCAGTGTCACACAAAAGCACTGTCAGGCCTTAGACTCAAAGAGGCCTGTCTAGGGTTCTCTGGACTCCACGGGAGGAATGTGGCTTTGAAAGACTTACTACTTACAATTAATTAGGGCACTCTTGTACCACTCGTAAAATCAGTTGTTAACTTGTAAACACTAAATAAGATACAAGAGAAATGCAAATACTCCCTGTAGCAGAAAGGATAACTCCAAAGACTTTGCTTTTATTGCCCCTAGGATATCACTGAGTTTTATATCTAATTTAGCAATCTTATCTCAGCATTCCTTATTAAATACACACACACCTTTGGTTTCCCTTATTCATTTTAAATCAGTTTTACCATCTTGCTGGTTCCCCCATAAATTAGATAAATAAAACTTCTGTAAGCGCTCACAATGTATTTGTACGGAAATTGTTTTCACTTG